GGCCCCCCCTTGCCCAGTCACTCCGCAGGACCAAGCTGAGACCCCCCAGAGGGAGCCAGGGACCCTCGCAGGCTGTACCCCAAACAATGCCATTCTGATCTTCCTCGTCCATTTCACTGGCATAAAGGGTGCAGGAGCCCACACTGCTTCAGCACGCAGCTGATTGGGCGTACAACTGGGGCCATCCGCTCACCCCGGCTTGGCATTGGCTCTTCTGGATTTTGGCAAACAGCCCCTCGAGACCTCACAAAACGGAGGACCGGAGATGGACTGGGGTCAGACACAGCTGGATCCAGGGCCCCACGGGGGCCTTGGGTGACGCCCACTGCCACACACCCAGCCTCCAGCGCCCTTGTTGGCTCACAGACCCATCTGGAAACCACCGTGGTGACCTGGGAGAAGGGGCTCTGCCTGGCCAGGCTGGGGTCCCACACCCACTCCGGCACTAGGTGTTCTTCACATGGCCTAGCCTGGGCGGGTGTGGCTGCTTGTGGCAGAATACAAGCTGGGGAGGCAGGGACGGAAGGGTCTACCTCAGTCCACAGAGCAGGTCCAAGGTCCAAGGTCCATCCTTGTCCAGACGGAGAAAGGGAGGACCAGAGCAGGCTGGCACCAGGCCCGTCACACAGCACAGCAGAGGCAGGGCTGGGGCGCAACTGAGGGGTGGGCTGCCCTCCTGTGTATGTCACACTGCCTCTGGGAGCCTCGTTCCCCATGTGTGTCTGGGGGCGAGGCCTGACTTGCGGGCTGCTGAGCATAACGTGAGATGACCTTCGCGAAGCCCCCTGCACAGGGCACACAGTGGCTGCACAATCAGGATCATCATGCTGGCAGTGCCTGGTCCAAGGGGCTGTGTCCATGGCTGGCGGGGGTGGGCCGGAGTCCAGGAACAGCGAAGCCACCTCTAGGGACACTCACTGCTGGGACTGGAGGCTGCAGGCAGGAGCAGGAAGTCCCACAGGCGGTATCCACTGGCTAGGTCTGGACCGGTGGGGAGGGGCAGGTTGGTCCCAGAGGCAGATGCAGGGCCTGAGGTGGCCCTGAGCCAGCAGCCCTGCCAGGTGAGGCGGAGCACAGGCCAGAGGCCTGGGTGGGACTCCTGGTGCTTCTGGGCAAGGGCGGTGACCCTGGGCTGGCTGCCTGCTTCCCTTCTGTGAAATGGAGTGATGTTCAGGGTCCGGGGCCTAGAGACACAGGTGATTACCACCCCATAAGTCTCTGACGGCCCCCGAGGGGGGCAGGTTTGGGAAAGGTGCAGGTGGAAGGCCCTGAGGGGCAGCCAGGCGGGAGGGGAGAGGGGCCTACAGGGGCTGAGGGATGAGGGGCGGGCACTGTAGAGCAGGGGCAGCAGCCGAGGGGCAGGTGGCCTTGAGCGCTGAAGGCAGGAGGGGAGGGAGTGGAGGGCAGAAGGGGGTGAGGGCAGTGGCCAGAGAACTGGTGCTGGGCGCAGGGCAGGGCTGCTGATGCACTCCAGCAGCCCTGCTTCAGCCCCTTCCGCTGGGGCTCCCTGGCCACCCCTCAGCCTGTAGACTCTCCCCCTTGTCCAGAGTTAAGCCTGGTATGAGCGCTCAATAGGTGCTCGCCAACTGACTGCCTACCTGAGGTGCTCAGTGTTGACTGACTGTGGTGCTCAATAAATGCTCGGACTGACTGTGGTGCCTGGTAAGTGCCCTCAGACAGGACACACAGAAACCCTGCTGCCTCTGGGCTGTGGGCCCTGTGTGCACCTCCTGCCCTCAGTCTCTGAGAGGGCCTCCAGGGTACAGAGGACAGTCACAGGGCCTGGCAGATGAGCAGGGGCTCAGTGCATCCCTCTGGCACCTCGGGCCTGTTCACAGCTGCCCCCCATATGCAGAGTATAACATGTCAGACCTTTCCTGGTGCCACACTCTCTACACATGGTCAGCCACAAGCCCAGGCTTCACACTGCCCTCGTGGAACTCTGTCCCATGTGGTCCTGGGCCCAATCATGTGACTGACCTCAACCATGGGACGCCCAAAAATGTAAAGCAAGCAGAGGTTGAATAAGCACTCTCTATGGGGCACTACCCTGGCACCCGGCCTCCAGCAGCCTGGGCTGGCCTGCTGGGGAGGCCACGAGGAGGGGAAGTGGGCCTCCTCTGCCTCTTCGCCTGCAGCCCAACTCCGATGAGCCCCACATGTGGCACCTGGGTGAGACCAGCAGAACCACCCTGCTGAGCCCAGCCCAAACCACAGAATTTTAAGTAGGTAAATTCTAGGATTTTTTTTTTTTTGAGTTGGTATCTCACTCTGTTGCCCAGACTGGAGTGCAGTGGCCGCTCCCGGCCACCGCAGCCTTGACCTGTTGGGCTCTGGCGATCCTTCCACCTCAGCCTTCCGAGTAGCTGGAATTGCAGGCATGCAGGCTACCACACCTGGCTGATTTTTTGATTTATTGTAGACATGAGGTCTCGCTGCCCAAGCGGGTCTCGAACCCGCGGGCTCAGGCAATCCACTCACCTCAGCCTCCCAAAGGCGTGGGATGACAGGCTGAGCCGCCGAGCCCGGCTCTAGGATTTGTTTGGGAGGAGGGACTGATGTCTCACTCCATTGCCCAGGCAGGAGTGTAGCAGCATCATCACAGCTCACTGCAGCTCACTCTCCTGTCTCAGGCAATTCCTCCACCTCAGCCTCCCCAAAAGCTGAGACTATGGGCACGTGCCACCATGTCTGGCTAATTTTTAAATTTTTTTGTAGAGATGAAGTCTCACTATGTTGCTGAGGCTGGTCTTCAACTCCTGGGCTCATCGAATCCTTCTGCTTCAGCCTCCTAAAGTCTGGGAATTCGGGCATCAGTCATCACACCTGGCCATGGGTAGGTAAATTCTAAACCACTACATTTAGGGATGGCTTGCTTGGGGATGGTTTGTCATGCAGCAACAGCTGACTGCTACCATGTACATCCATCACTGTACTTGTCACCTTTACAGGAGAGAGGGGAACCAGAGAGGGGAAGGAACTTGCTCAGTGGAGGGAGGATTTTAGAGCTAGGAAGGTAACCACCATGCTGGACTCCACCCGAGGCTGCTGGTGTGCGGCAGGACCGGGAAAATGAGGGCTCTCCTCTCAGCTTTGGTGGGGGGGGGGCATGTGTGGGACTGATAAGAGGCAGGAAGATGGCGGAGAGAGAGCGATGGAGATGGACTGACCAGGTCCTTGAGCAGCAGAGTGGAACATTCTGGGGCTACAGGGACCCCTCCACCTCCACTCCTGAAACCACCCCCCATGCTCAGGAAGAAAGCTCAAGTGGTTAGACAGGCAGGCCCCTTCCTGGATGCCCCATGGGCAGGTTAGGCAGAGCAGAGAGAGGCTCACAGCTACCATTGCACTGACCTGGGTAGGGGGGCTAAGGGGCCTCCACGTCTCTTCCAAAATCAGGCTGAGGAGGGCGGGGCAGTTCCTCGGGGCTGGAACAAAACATGTGCAGCATCTATGAGGTCAAGGCCAGAGGCCGTGATGCCTGCTCAACTGGGCTGAAGTGTGGGTCTGGGTCAGCTTCAATTCCCCAAGACCCCTGGCCTAACCTCTAGGACATACCTTTATTTATTTATTATTATTACTATTTTGAGTCGGAGTCTCACTCTGTCACCTAGGCTGGAATGTAGGGGCATGCTCATGGCCACTGCAGCCTCCACCTGCTGGGCTCAGGTGATCCTTCTGCCTCACCCTTCCAAGTAGCTGGAATTACAAGCATGTGCCTCCACACCCAGCTAATTTTTTTATTATAGAGATGAGGTCTTGCCAAGCTGCCCAGGCTGGTCTCGAACCTGTTGGCTCAGACAATCCTCTCACCTTGGCCTCCCAAAGTGCTGGGATTATAGGCGTGAGCCACCACGCCTGGCCATTTATTATTTTTTTAGAGATGAGGTCTCACTGTTTGCCCAGGCTAGTCCTGAACTCCAGGCCTTGAGTGATCTTCCTGCCTTGGCCTCCCAAAGTGCTAGAATTACAGGCCTGAGTCACCATACCTGGCCCAGGATATCCTCTTTAAAAATGATGGGTGGGGGCCAGGCACAGGGGCTCACACCTGTAATCCTAGCACTTTGGGAGGCTGAAGTGAGTACTGCCTGAGCCCAGGGGTTTGAGACCAGCCTGGGTAACTTGGTGAGACTTCATTTCTACAGTAAATCAAAAAATTAGCCAGGCATGGTGGCATGCACCTGTATTTCCAGCTACTTGGAAGGCTGAGGCAGAAGGATCGCCTGAGCCCAACAGGTTGAAGCTACAATGGCCGTGAGCATGCCACTGCACTGCAGCCTGGGTGACAGTATGGCTCCAATGCAAAAAAATAAAAAATAAAAAAGATGGTGGGACCAGTCACACACTTCAGAGGCCGTGGCTGGGCTCATGCCCATAGGACTGGGTGCTTCAAACTCACAGGGAGGTGCTGGCAGCACTTCAAGCTGCTACCAGTGTCTCACAGAAGCAAACTGCGTTTTTGCAACAGCAAACACAAGCAACGCGTGTGAAAGCATTTTGGAAACTACAAATTGGTAGTAAACGTCAAGGTTTTTGAGTGAACTCTAGTCCCAACTGTCAACACCAACCTGCAACACAGCCATCAGATGTCACCCCTCCTCAGCTGCAAAAGAGCCCAGGCCAACCCACCAAGCTACCCTTCGAAAAAAGAACGTCACACACTCACTCTTATGCAGGCTCAAGGCTTGTGTGTGTGTGTTTTGAGACAGGGTCTTGCTATATTGCCCAGGTTGCAGCACAGTGGGGCGACCATAGCTCACTGCAGACTGGAACTCCTGGCCTCAAGCAATCCTCCTGCCACAGTTTCCTGAGTAGCTGGACTACTGTTATGCACCACCATGCATGGCTCTGCTTTTTTGTTTTTGACAATTCTCAAGTCTTAGTTATCAGCAATAGCAACACAGATGTTCTTTCTTTCTAAATGCCTGAGGGGGAGGGCAGGCATGCCAGCCCCCGAACTTGCAGGGGCCAGACACAACCCCAGGTGATCTTCTGGCACTTGTGTGTGTTCATATGTGTGTTTATTAAGTTATAATGAAAGCAACAAAAAAGGGCTACTTCTCCAAAAACTCTGTCCCTAGCATGCAAGAACTGAGTGCTTTTCATTTTCAGATCATCTGGTCCTGGGCTCAAAGCTTCCTGTAGCTCTGGTACCCCGGCCCCTACCCCCGGCTCACCGACTGGGGCCATACCAGCCTCCTCCATGTTTCTCGAACAAGCCCTGCAAGTCCAGCCCTGGGCACCCGCCCTCACCACACCCACTCCTGGAACTCCATTCCCTGGTCATCTGTCTGCCTGTTGCTCAGGCCACCTCCTCAGAGAGGCCCCAAGTCACTTTGCGTCCTGGCAGTATGCCGGAAACGCTCTTGAACGTTTCATGTTTATCTAGCTGCTGTGTCTCCCTGAACCTGCCTGTCTCGGCCACCCTGTGTCCTCAGCGCCTAGCCCAGCACAGCACACAGCAGACCCCAGGATCTGGTGCCGAGCGACTCAACTCTCCTGCTACAGATGCCAAAGGATGAGAGGAAGCCACCAGCCGCCACTGGACAAGGAAAGAAAGTTTTCTACTGAGCAAGAAGCGGCAGCTCCTGGCAGAGCTGAGAGACGTCCTCACAGCGAGGCGCTGAGCAGGGCAGCCCAGGTGCTACCTGTGGCCCTGGGCAGTGGCGTTCATGTGATCCCGGATGCTGATGGCCTGCTTGAGCAGACCCTCAACGCTGCGGAAGTAGACACCGCTGTCAACCAGGTTCTTCACAGCACTGAAACAAGAAGATGGCATGGTCAGCTCCCCGCACCAGCTGTGTACCCTGCACCTCAAGAGGCCTCCCAGAACTCAGTGAGCACCATGGTGAGGCTCTGGGCCTCCCTGATGGAGCCATGGGCTTAAATTTAATTTTTTTTTTGAGTCAGGGTCTCACTTTGTCACCCAGGCTGGAGTGCAATGGCATGCTCATGGCACTGCAGCCTCAACCTACTGAATTTAGGGGATCCTTCCACTTAAGCCTTCCAAGTAGCTGGAACCACAGGTGCACGCCACCATGCTCAGATAATTTATTTTATTCTTGTAGAAGTGAGGTCTTGCCACGTTGCCCAGGCTGGCCTTGAACCTGTGGGCTCAGGTAATTCTCTCACCTCCATCTCCTGAAGTGCTGGAATTACAAGGGTGAGCCACCATGCCCGGCAAATTTAATTTTTAATTTTTTTTCCTTTTTCTTTTGAGTTGGGGTCTCACTCTGTTGCCCAGGCTGGAGTGCAGTGGCATGATAATGCCTTGCCACAGCCTGAACTTGCTGTAAAGACAAGGTTTTGATATGTTGCCTAGGCTTGATTCAAACAACAGGGCTCAAGTAATGCTCCCACCTTGGCCTCCCAAAGTGTTGGGATTGCAGGCATGAGCCACAGCGCCTGGCCTGGATTTTATTTTAAATTTAAGAGGTGTATGTGCAGGCTTGTTGTGTGGATGTATGGTGTGTTGGTAAGCTTTGGGCTTCTATTGAGCCTGTCACCAGGTGGTAGGCATGGTACCCAACGGGTGGTTTTTCAAACTTCTCCCCTCTCTGCCTCCCCTCTTTAGAAGTCCCCAATATCTGTTATTACCATTCTTTGCCTGTGTGTGCCCAGTATTTAGCTCCCACTTACGAGCGAGAACATATGCTATTCAGTTTTCTGTTTCTGTGGTAATACGCTCAGGATGCTGATCTCTAGCTGCAGCCATATTACTGCAAAGGACGTGGTTTTTGGTATAAGTCCCACATTTTCTTTATCCAGTCCACCGTCGATGGGCACCTAGGTTATTTCCATGTCTTTGTTATTATGAGTAGTGCTGCAATGAACATATGAGTGCACGTGGGCTCAAATTTTAGATTTCACAGCTAGGCCTAGATGACATTTATGCAACAGAGCATGCAATGGCCAGACATGACTATGTTTCACTGCCACTGAAACATCTAATGTGTTGAAGGTGGTGTAAGTACATAAAGATGACCTGCCATCTTTCGTTGTAGGTGATGTATTCCTGCCTCTGAAGTAGTTTCTCAACTCTCCAGAAGCTCTTCTTCAGTCGAGTTTAGGTTGGGTCAGGACAGTTCCCCACCAACCAAGGGTGCACAACTTCAATGTGTGCCAAGGCTGGCACCAACTGCCGTCCAGCCACCATGGAAATGGCCCTCAGCCCACACTGGGGGCAAACAGCACAACTATGTAAAGTTCCCAAGCTCCTGAGGCAACAAAACACAACCTGGCAACACAGTCACTAGGAACTCAACAAAAGCCACCGGAAGCAAAGGTGTAATAACAGAAAGAAAGCCCAACTACAGGCGCAGTGGCTCAGCCTATAATCCCAGCACTTTGGAAGGCCCAAGTGAGTGGACTGCCTGATCCCAAGGGTTCAAGACCAGCCTGAGCAGTTGGGTGAGACCTCGTTTTTACAATAATTCAAAAAAATTAGCCAGGTGTGGTAGCGCATGCCTGTAGTTCCAGCTACTTGAAAGGTTAAGGCGAGCCGGGCTCGGTGGCTCAGCCTGTAATCCCGTACCTTTGGGAGGCTGAGGTGAGTGGATTGCCTGAGCCCGCAGGTTCGAGACCCACCTGGGCAAATTGGTGAGACCCCATCTCTACAATAAATCAAAATGAGCCGGGCGTGGTAGCGCGCACCTGTAGTTCCAGCTACTTGGAAGACTGAGGCGGAAGGATCACTGGAGCCCAGCAGGTCGAGGCTGCGGTGGCCGAGAGCGGTCACTGCACTCCAGTCTGGGCGACAGAGTGAGACTCCAACTCAAAAAAAAAAAAGAAAAGAAAGGCTAAGGCGGAAGGATGACCGGAGCCCAGCAGGTTGACGCTGGGGTAGCCGTGAGCGTGCTGCTGCACTCCAGCCTTGGCGACAAAGTGAGACTCCAACTCAAGAAAAAAAAATGCCAGGCATGATGGCTCACGCCTGTAATCCCAGCACTTTGGGAGGCTGAGATGAGAGGACTGCCTGAGCCCAGGGGTTCAAGTCCAACCTAGACAACTTGGCAAGATCTTGTCTCTACAGTAAATCACAAAAATTAGCTGGGTATCGAGACCCGCCTGGGCAACTTGGCGAGACCTCATCTCCACTATAAATAAAAAACTAGCCGGGTGTGGTAGCGCGCGCCTGTAGTTCCAGCTACTCGGAAGGCTGAGGAGGAAGGATCGCCGGAGCCCAGCAGGTTGAGGCTGCGGTGGCCACGAGTGGCCACTGCACTCCAGTCTGGGCGACAGAGTGAGACTCCAACTCAAAAAAAAAAAAAATTAGCTGGGTGTCATGGTGCGCACCTATAGTTCCAGCTACTTGGAAGGCTGAGGCAGAAGTATTGTCTGAGCCCGGCAAGTCAAGGCTGCGGTGGCCATAAGCATGCTGCTGCACTCCAGCCTGAGCGACAGAGTGAGACTCTAACTCAAAAAAAAAAAAAAAAGAAAGAAAGAAAAAGAAAAAAACCACCTGACTCAGTTATTTGCCAAGTTCTTGCCTTCGCCAGAAAATCTGATTTGTTCGTGAAATGAACCCTCTGGAATCTCCTATGTACTATGCATGAAAAAAGCGCAGACTGGCTGCCTCCTCTTTGTAACCTGGAGATTCAGAGGAAGTTAAACAAGATAAAAAATAAAACAGCCAGGGCAGGCATGGTGGCTCACATTGAAAAGCACTTTGAGAGGCCAAGGCAGGAGGATTGCTTGAATTCAGGAGTTCAAGACCAGCCTGTACAACATAACAAGACCCTGTCTCTACAGAAAATAAAAAAATTAGCCAGGTGTGGTGTTGCATGCCTGTAGTGTCAGCTAAGGCAAGAGGATCACTTGAGCCCAGAAGTTTGAAGCTGTAGTGATCCATGAGCGTGTTACTATACTCCAGCCCAAATGGCAGAATGGGACCCTGACTCAAAAAATAAGTAAAAGTTGCCAGGCATGGTAGCTCATGCATAATCCCAACACTTTGGGAGGTGGAGGCAAGAGAATTGCCTGAGTCCAGGAGTTTGAGACCACCCTGGGCAACATGGTGAGACCTTGTCTCTACAATAAAAATCCAAAAATTAGCTGGGCATAGTGGCACGCACCTGTAGTTCCAGCTACTTGGAAGGCTGAGGCAGAACACCTGAGCTCAGCAGATCGCAGCTACAGTGGCTGTGAGCGTGCCACTGCACTCCAGCCTGGGCAACAGAGTGAGACTCCAACTCAAAACAAAAAATTTTAAGATAAACAACTCTATCTGTGCTTTGCCTGCCCCCACCTGCTGCTGTCCACACCACAGCTTGGCTGTGGGAAGGGATATTGGTCCCTGGAGGCACCTCCCAGACTCCTTAGCACAGTCTCCTAAGACAGATGAGGAAGGGCTCAGCGCAGGGAAGGGGCCCGCTCAAAGCACTGGTCAGGCGAGTTGCAATGTCATCCACACACCTCCACAGAGGTAAGATCGGCAGGGCGGGGCTCCCCGGGCAGCCAGTAGGGACACCCCAAACACCCAGGATGGTCCTGGTGGGGGAAGCTGTGGCTCTCACCTGCAGGCATACTCCACGGTGTAGATGGCTCCCTGGCTCTGCTCCTCCCACCGCTGCATGTCGGCCTGTGAAGGTTAGAGGGACACTTAGCAGGGGAGGCCGTCATCTGGAGAGCCGCCCTTCCCAGATCACTTGGTCAGGACCCTCACCTTTCCTCCCACAACTTCCTTCCCCCACAGACCTGGGCTTTCTGTGACCACCTGGCCACCATGCCTCAGGGCCTTTGCACGGGGCTGTTCCCTCTGCCTGGCACACCTTTCCCTCAGATGGTCACACAGCTGCCATAACTACTACAGATCTTGCCGTCTCCTTCCAAATCTACCCCAGATCTGACCTGGCTCAGCCACCACATGACCCCCTGTTGGTGTTCCAGTCTTGGCTCCTGCCCCAATAGCCCAGGCTCCACCCAACAGCTCCCAGCTCACCTTGTGCTGTGCCAGCTCTGGCAGGGAGCGGCGCACATGTTCCTGCAGCCGGTACAGCGCCACGGATGGCTCGTTGGCCAGGACATAGATGCTCTCAGTGAACTTGTCTGTGACTGGGTCCAGGGTCAACAATAGGCAAGACAGAGCAGAGAGAGGACAAGGGGACAGAGCATCAACCTCCTGATTGCTCAACCTGCGAGCTCAGCCAGAGCAGAGAGAGGCATCCAATGTGTCCCCCAGCAGCTGGGTCACCTGTGGTCCCAGGGATAGGCTGAATTGGGGAAGATGGTCACAGCAGAGACACACTCAAGAGGACACGAGCACTTGCAGGGAGTCATTCACTGATGACTCACTGGTCCTTCACTGATTCATGATCTTCCCCCGAAAAACCTACTTGGAGTGGACACCGCTGCTGCCTACTCAGATCCTTTTGCCTTCTTTATTTTAGTTTTTTTTTTTTAATTATTTTTAAGAACGCAGGATTTATTGAGAGAACAGAAAAGCTCCCACAGCGAGAGGGGACCCAAAGGGGTTGCCCTTTTATTTTACTTTTTAAATTTTTTGAAGCGACCGGGGTTTCACTCTGTCACCCTGTTTGGAGTGCAGTGGCATGATCATAGTTCACTGCAGCCTCCAACTCCTGGGCTCAGGCGATCCTTCCGCCTCAGCCACTCGAGTAGCAGAAACTACAGGCGCCATCACGTTCGGCTCATTTTTTAATTGTTTGTAGAAACGAGGTCTCATTATGTTGCCCAGGCTGGTCTCGAACCCGGGTCTCAAGTGATCCTCCCGCCTCGGCCTCCCAAAGCTCTGGGACTACAGGCGTGAGCCACCGCGCGCGCTTCTGGTTATTGAATCCTTAAAACCATCCTAGGAGAAGGGGTTACCAGAATCCTCACTTTACGGATGACAAAACCAGGTAGAGACTTCCCACAGGTTTCAGAACGAACCAGCGGCCGAGCTGGGATTCGATGGCAGCTTAGTCACGGCTCCCTACACGCTCCCTTCACGCCCGCCCTCCGTCGGGTCGCCAGTTCGCGAGCTCCCAGCCCCTCACCGTCCCGCCCGGGGACCCGTACCACCTTTCTTCCCCTTGAGCTGCATCTCCGGCTCCTCCATAGCGACTACGACTACGACTCGCCGAAGCAGACGACCGGAGCCGGACGTCCGGAGGCTGGGCCATCTTCCTAAGCCTTCCCTACGGAAACCGGACGCGACACAGCTTCAGTTCCGGTACCAGTTGGCCTGCCCTCCCCGCTTCTCCGTCTCCCCGGACAGGACAGGGGCTGTAAGTGAGAGGCTGAGGCGAAGGAGACCCCGGGGCGGGTGAGGAGGGGATGGAGACGCCCGGGGGGAGGGCAAGGACTCCCTCCCCGAAACCCCTTTTCCCGGGGCAGACGAGTTGGAGGAACACTCCATGTACTGTCCACTTCGGGCCGTATGAACTTCCTCCTTTAGCCCCCTGCCGCCACCAAATCCCTGCCCATGCTCATAAGCCTCTGGGACGGCAGAAGGGACATTGTTGTGCAACCGGGCAGCCAGGGTACATCGCCCCTTTAAACTCCGGAGGGCCTGCCTACTTCCCTCCGCCCTCCTCCTAGAGAAAGCCACGCCCTCATCCCTAGGTTGAAGCCGATTGGCTCTCTCTGGAAACCTGTGGGCGAAGCTAGAGGTGTGGGGGGGGGCACAGGAGCCGTGAAATTCTCAGATCTCTTGTGGCCCCGCCCATCCCGTCCGGAGCGGCGAGGCGCAGGCGCCACAGCGCTACCAGCGCCCCAGCGGAAGCCACGCCCCTCTCCCAGTTCTTAAAGGGCCAGAAGCAGCTCTTACTGCTTGGGGCCCATCCGCACTTTTGGGGGGCGGGGGCGCGCAGGCGCAGTGGGAGAGGTCTGGGGTGGGGGTAGCGGTCGCGTATCAAGTTGCTTTCTGTCCCGACAGAGAAAACCAGGACGCTGAGTGTCCAGTCCTCCCCCACCCCACATCCCTTGGACGAGAAAAGTTTGTGAACTGGGGCCCTCAAGTTTGGGGGAAACTGGGCTTGCGGCGCGGGGGGAAGAGGAGGCTCGTGGGGAGGTGAGTGGACCTCCTGGGTCGGCTTGGGAGGCGCGGGTGGGACGAGAACTGGTCGCATCTTTGCCGAGCCCTCGTTCTGGGGACAGACACCCTCCCAAATAACCACGGCGAATGTTTATTCAGCTCTGCCCTTATTAGGTTCCCTGCTGAGCTATTCACAGACATGATTTATTCTAGGCCTCATTTTCATATTTTATGGAGGAGGAAACCGAGGCTCAGGGGTTAAGTCACACGCAGATAAGTCGCATCAGACACGAGAGGGAGAACCCAGACAGTTGACTCCAGAGTCCAGGCTTCTAAGCATCGCATGTTGCAGGGCCTTGGTGATGGGGAATAGCGGGCCTGAAAACCAGCTGGGCTCTCATTTTAATTTCCTTGCTGTGGTAATGAACCCGAGCCTCAGTTTACCCTCCCTCACAAGGCAAGGCTGCATATGCAGTTGGTGACTCCTTAATGATAGTTGTTGATCATTATTGTCATCTCTTCGATTCTGGTGCTTCCCCAGCTTCCCCGATGGAGCCCACCCAGCCTGCAGAGGACTTTATCTTGACCCAGCAGCCCCCTGCCTCAGAACTTGGGGTCCTTGACGACCCTGGAGAGGAAGCCCCAGATGGCTCAGACACTGTGGTCCTCAGTCTCTTCCCCTGCACCCCAGAGCCTGGGAATCCTGAACCAGATGCCAGTGTCTCCTCACCACAGGGTAGGATGCCTCCTCTGGGGCCGGATGATGGTGGAGTTTCGGACTGGAGATGGGACTGATGTCTTTATGGCCCTCTAGTAGGACATTTCTGTCTGCCCCCCCCAAAGGGTTGTTTGTTTTCTTTATCTTTCTTTACATATTTTGTATGTTTTTTATTGTGGCACAATACACATAACACAAAGTTTACCATTTAAACCAGAATTGCAGTATAATTCAGTGTCAGTATATTCACCTTGTTGTGTAACCACCTCCTTTTTCTAGTTCCAGAACATTCTCATCCCCCCAAAAGGAGACCCCCATCCCATCAGCAGTCACTGACAGCCACTAATCTGCTCCCTCTCTCTGTGAAGTTGCATGTTCTGGATGTTTCTATCAACAGAGTCGCACTCAACGTGGCCTTTTATGTCTGGTTTCTCTCACTCAGCATCGTGTGTTCGAGGGTCATCCACGCTGTGGCCTGTCAGTACCTCCCTCCTTTCTGTGGCCGAGTCCTGCCGTATGGTGTGGATGGACCACATTGTGTTTGTCTGTTCATCCTTTGCTAGACACCTGGGTTGTTGCCCTTGTGGTGACTTTGAATAATGCAGCTGTGTCTGTGTACAAAGGTCTACATACCTGTTTGTAGCTCTTTGAGGGCAGATATCTAGGTGTGGAATTGCTGAGTCAGATAGTAATCCTGTGTTCAATTTATTGAAGGATTGGCGATGTAATTTTTCTTTTAGAGTCTCTGTTGCCCAGGCTGGAGTACAGTGGCACACTCACAGCCACTGCAGCCTTGACCTACCGGCCTCAGGTGATCCTTCCGCCTCAGCCTTCCAAGTAGCTGGAACTACAGACACACGTTACCATGCCCAGCTACTTTTTAAAAGAATTTTTTGTAGAGATGAGGTCTCACCAAGTTGCCCAAGCTGGTCTCCAACCCGTGGACTCAGGCAATTCTCTCATCTCGGCCTCCCAAAGTGCTGGGATTATAGGCGTGAGCCACCGCACCCGGCCGGTGATATAATTATTTTTTGAGTTAGGGTCTCGCTCTGTCGCCCAGGCTGGAGTGCAGTGGCATGCTCACAGTTCACTGCAGCTTCCACCCCCTGGGCTCAGGCAGTCAATCCTTCTGCCTCAGCCTCCTCGGTAGCTGGGACTATGGGTGCCACCATACCCAGCTAAGCTTTTAATTTTTGAAGAGACGAGTTCTTGCTGTGTTTCCCAGGCTGGTCTTGAATTCCTGGGCTCAGCATTCCTCCTGCCTTGGCCTCCCAGAGTGCTGGGATTACAGGCATGAGCCATTGTACCCGGCCATTGTCTTGATCTCAGCGTCTCAGTGGTGCCACTCTGGAAGACCCTCCTGTGACTGCCCGGTCTAAAATGGACTTGCCCCATCTTTCCTTCTTTCTGGCCTCTTCTACCTGCTGCTTAATTCTCTTGACCACTTATTTCAACTTGAGGTTTTGTTCTTTCTGTGTGTCTCAGACACCCCCTGGGCTCCCTTGAGGGCAAGAGTTTTGTCGTGGTTGCCCAGAACACCGGGCATGGAAGAGGAAGGTGCACCTTGGGTATCTGAGAGTGGAGTCTCAGGCAGTCTTTGGTCACTCTAAGCCCCCCGGGTCTGCCCCAAAGCCCCAGGGACATATACCAAGGGGAAACTGAGGCCTTTCCTCCCCCTTCCAGCAGGCAGCTCCTTGAAGCACTCCACAACCCTCACCAACCGGCAGCGGGGGAACGAGGTGTCGGCCCTGCCGGCCACCCTGGACTGTGAGTGGGCCTCCATGGTCCCCCGTGGGGGAGGGGTGACAGGGTGGGAGGAGCCATTGTGGACAGAGGGTAAACTGAGGCACAGAGTGGCGACTGGACTGGTGAGGATTCTGCCTCTCTCCGGCCCCCAGCCCTGTCCATCCACCAGCTCGCAGCCCAGGGGGAGCTGAGCCAGCTGAAGGAACACCTGAGGAGAGGTGTGTGTCCACACGCATGTGTTGGCATGTCTGTGCCTGGGTGGCATGTGCAGGTGCTGTGCCCACTCAGTGCTGATGTGACCTAAGTGTCCGTGTATGTGTCCCTACATGTGTGTCCCCCTCCCCCAGTCTAACCCCAGCCCCTGCCCTGTCCCCACTCCGTTGGCATTGGGAAGAGGGGGCAGGGGTACAGCCCGGTGGTACCACCCCCCTACCAGGTGACAACCTCATCAACAAGCCGGACGAGCGTGGCTTCACCCCCCTCATCTGGGCCTCAGCCTTCGGAGAGATTGAGACCGTCCGCTTCCTGCTTGAGTGGGTGCGTCCCAGCCCAACTGGGGGTGTCTGGGGACTTGAGGGTGGGCCAGGGTCTCAGCTGCATGTGCGGGGCTCTTGTAAGATGGAACTCCAGACTGGGATTGGTGGCTCAGCCTGGAATCCCAGCACTTTGGGAGGCTGAGGCGAGTGGATTGCCTTAACCTGTGGGTTCGAGACCAGCCTGGACAATTTGTCGGGACCTCATCTCTACAATAAAACAGAAAATAGCTGGATGTGATCGGGCATGTCTGTAGTTCCGGCTACTCTGAAAGCTGAGGTGGAAGGATCGCTGGAGCCCAGCAGGTTGACCCTGGGGTGGCCATGGTGCCACTGCACTCCAGCCTGGGCGAAGGAGTGAGACTCCAACTCAAAAAAAGTTGGGATTTCAGGACACCACCTGTCACTGTTCCCTCTACTCCCCCACCCCTCCCATCGTGTCCCCCTCTACCCCCTGCAGGGTGCCGACCCCCATATCCTGGCCAAGGAGCGGGAGAGCGCCCTGTCGCTGGCCAGCACAGGCGGCTACACAGACATTGTAGGCCTGCTGCTTGAGCATGATGTGGACATCAACATTTATGATTGGGTGAGGCACCACCCATCCCGGGCACCTCACAGCCTCCTGGCCTCCACTCCTGCCTGCAAACATGTATCGAGCACCTGGAAGATGCCAGGCCTGCTCTGGGCACTGGGAACACAAAACAAACCCATTTCCAAGCCTCAGAGTTCCCAATCTGGGGGAGGCTGAGATGGAGTGAGTAGTGCTGTGGCGGCAGACACACGGGCAGCTGCAAGAGCCCAGAAGTGGCTAAGGGCAGTCAGGGAGGGCTTCCTGGAGGAAGGGCTGTCTGAGCTTGAGCTCTAAAAGATAAGGTAGATGGGGCCAGGTGATAAGCAGGACGAACCACATTAAATCGAAGGCCAGAAAGTACAGGAAACTGTGAAAACTGGGAAAAGATAAATGGTTGGTTTCCCCCGCCCCCACCAGAATGGAGGGACTCCGCTGCTGTATGCTGTGCGTGGGAACCACGTCAAGTGTGTGGAGGCCTTGCTGGGTAAGTGGGAGTTGGCTTGGGCCCTGGGGACCCCACCTGGCTCTGCAAGAACCCCAAAGGCAGAGGCAGGTCCAAGCTCTGCTAGAACAATTCTTGGGGGCAGGAGGGGGCAGGATGGCACCGGGGTCTGTGTCTGAGTCTGGCTAGCACGCTGAGCACCTGTCCACTCCAGGCCGCTGACCCTGGAGCCATTCTTTGGCAGAAGCCGAGGCTCAGGGAGGCCAGGCTTTGGTCCAAGGCCACCTGGGCAGCGGCAGACCCACAGCTGCATTGTGGGGTGTCCCGGGATCTCCCAGGCCCCCAGCCACCCCTCCAGCGCCTGTTCTGCTTTGCAGCCCGAGGTGCCGACCTCACCACAGAGGCTGACTCTGGCTACACCCCGATGGACCTTGCCGTGGCCCTGGGATACCGGAAAGGTTGGCCTGAGACACACAGGGCAGCGACAGGGTGCTGTAGGTGGGGTGCCCAGGACACCCCTCCAGTTGTCAGGTGCTGGCAGCCAGTGTTCATGTTGGCAGACATTGAGGACCACTGTGTACACGCCTTGGACACATCCCAGTCCCAGCTCTCGGGGCTCCCTGTGTGCTGGGGGAGGCAGGACAGGGTGTCAGTGACGGGGACCATGGTGTGGGACACACGCACTGAGGCCCCAGTCCAGCCCTGGAATAGGGGGGTCAAAGAGGGCTCCTGGGGGCCAGAGTGCAAGTGGAGCAGTGTCCAGGCAGGACAAACTTGCAGCAGACTGGCAGGCTGCGGACCCAGAGGTGGGCAGCCAGGCCACAGTGCGCAGGGCCACAGAGGCCAACCCTTTCTGTGGCGCAGGGTGGGTGTGAGCAGGCACTTTGGGCTAGAATCCCTGCTTCCCCTCTCATAGCACCCTGGCTTCCTATCCATAGCCTGGGGAGATGCCAGCAGAACAGACCCCCTGGGCTCATGGGGGACCAAGGGTCGGGAAATATCCCCCTCCTTCCTTCAGAGTTGATTCCACTTGGGATAGAATCTGTCTTCACCACCCTTTTCTTTTTTTCATAAAAGTCACAATTTTTGGCTAGGCATGGTGATTCAGGCCTGTAATCCCAGCACTTTGGGAGGCCAAGGTGAGAGAATTACTTGAGCAACTTGACGAGACCTAGTCTCTACAATAAATCAAAAAATTAGCCGGGCATGGTGGCACACGCCTATAGTTCCAGCTGCTTGGAAGGCTGAGGTGGAAGGATTGCCTGAGCCCAGCAGGTCGAGGCTGTGGTGGCTGTGAGCATGTCACTGCACTCCAGCCTGAGCGACAGGGTGAGATTCCAACTCAGAAAAATAAATAAATAAAACACAAGAAAAGTCACGGTTTTTTCCCCTACAAATCAAAATTTGGTAAGAAATATTTGTGCAACTCTGAAAAGCCTAAAAAAAATACAGTTTACAAACTCAAGGGAAGTTGAGGTTCCCGGGATATGGCCTGGACCCTGCTGACTTTGACCTGGAAGAGGTATGGATTCCTTCCGCTTTTTTCCTTTTTTGTTATTTTTTTATTTTTTGAGTCAAGACCTCACTTTGTCGCCCAGGCTGGAGTGCATTGGCACAGTCACAGCTCACCACAGCCTCAACCTCCTAAGCTCAGGTGATCCTTCCGCCTCAGCTTCCTGAGTAGCTGGGACTACAGGCACCACCAAGCCCAGCTGATTTTTGGATTTTTTTTGCAGAGACAATGTCTCGAACTCTGAGTTACAGGCATGAGCCACCGTGCCCAGCCTAGATCCCCTATGCTTAAAGGGGGTCCTCCATCCAGGTCCCAGGGCTGAGAGGCTCCCATGTGCCCCTGCCCCAAGGGGAGGGTGCAGGTTGGCCTGTGCCTCCACGGCCCCCAATTCCAGCTCACAGCCCACCTTTCCCTGCCCCATCTCAGTGCAACAGGTGATCGAGAACCACATCCTCAAACTCTTCCAAAGCAACCTGGTGCCCACCGACCCCGAGTAAAGGCCAGCTGCTTAGGACTCAGACACTCAGGGAACAAGATGTGATCCAGAAAAACCCCGTTCTGGGAAAACCGGAACCGGCTTCAAAGGCAGCTCCTGGACAGGCGGCGGGAGGGGATCCTTCCCAAGAAAAACCAATAAATCTTCTGTGCAGAGCTTGGAGGACGTCACTGTGCTTCCCGGAGGGCTTCCTGGAGAAAGCAGCCACCCAGAGGTCTCACGCTTTCTTCTCCCCCAGCACCCGCAGGTGGTAGACGACCACACGGCCAAAAAAGTCAGTGGTGTCCTCAAAGGTCACCTTCAGTTGGTCCACTTCTGCAGTTGGCACGGGGAAGGTGTGATCCCAGACAGTCAAGGGAAACGGGGCTTCTCATGTCCCACCTGCCAGCCGCTCACCCTCCCAGACCTGGGCCCTAGGCCTAGCTCACACACCACCAATGTGCTGGGCAACCCGGGGAAGCCACTGGCCCCTCTGAGCCACTCACACAGAACATGTAGTTCTCAGCCGTATTTTACAGATGAAGTGACAGAGACCTAGAAGTTACTTGTTCGAGGTCACACACCAGGCTTCCCACTCAGGCCTGGGTGAGCCCAAAGTTTTCAGAGCCCCAGACCACCTGACCCAGAGGCCAGCCCAGGATATCTGAAGCGAGTTATTGTCTTCAGGGTAGAATTCTGCAATCTTGCCAAGAGCCTCACTCCCCTGTGAACCTGCAGCAGAGAAAGGTGGCCAGCGGGTCCAGGAAGCCCCTTTGAGCACCCCCCCCGCGGCCTCCCAATACCTTCCAGGCAGCCCCGGCGACTGGAGAAGCCCCCCTGGAACTGGATCTGCAGCTGGGAGACACGGACACGCTGGGGAAACTCCAGCACCACCCACTGGGAGGGGCCCTGCGAGCAGACAGGGAAACAGGCGCCGGGTCAGTCCAGACTCAGAGCCCTGCCATGCATCTCATTCACACAGGCCCTGGGCATTGAGAAAGGGGGCGCGCACATGGTCCCCTCCTGGCCCTCCCCGCGAAGTTCTCAAGGCACCCTGGACGCCCGAACTGAGCCCCACCAGAGCTGGAGGGCCCGGGGAGGCGCCTCACCTGGTCCGAGCTCCAGCAGGTCTCCTCGTTCTCGTCGAACAGGTGCTTCTTTCCAAACTGCCGCGTGCTGCGGTGCAGCACCGAGCTCACCCTGGAGACGCCAGGGTCAGCGGACGGAGCCCCGGCCTCGGGCCCGCCCCCGGCGCCTCCCCCCGAGGGCTCGACCCGGGTTCGGGGCTCCGCCCCCACCCCCCAACGCTCACCTGCTCACCGTCTCGGGACAGACCAAGGAGTGAGGCATCGCAGTTCCACGAGACCTAGCCGGGCTCGGCCTGGGTTCGGATCCCGACGCCACCTCCGCCGCGGGCGGCGCGACCTCGGCCTCAGCCCGGCCTGCAAGTCCTCCCCGGGAGCTCGGGACGAGCACTGTCCCGCCCTCGCCCGTCCCAGCCCTGAATGTCGCCTCGATCACCCACGCCCCCGCGCAAAAGTTGGGGGGGCGTCGAAAACCAATGACCGGGGACCCAGGCCTTGCACAGGAAGTCGGTTTCCCTAGGCTTCGAGGGCGGCAGTTCCGTATCCCAGCCTCAGTTTCTCTGCCAGCAACGCAGGGAGCCCAGAGCCGGGACCCGGAACCGCGAGGCGCGGCGCACGCGCGATGTAGCTCAAGCCCCGCCCCTCTGTCGCTTAGGGGGCGTGGCTTTGTTTGGCCCCGCCCCTTCACGCTACATTCTTAAAGGGACCATGTTCAGAGATTGAATGTTCTGGAGCCGGAGGAGGAAGGTCGGCTGTGTGCCAGGCGCTGTCACTTGGCGCCCCCGGGTGTGGAGCACTGGTTTTGGAATCTGGGAGACTTCCCACAACGTTGTCGTCCTACTCCGGGGAGTCCACTGAATCCTTCCCCTAACTGCTGATGCTGCCTGAGAACTCCTGAACTTCACTGCCTCCCGGAGCCCAAAGAAAGAATTGTGGAAAAGGCCATGCTGTTGAGGGGATGAGTCCTCACCAATCCTGTGTCCTCGCTGGGACACAGGAGGCCTGGCCTCCAAATCTGTCTTTCCCAGAAACTGCTGCCTGGGACATCAAAGAAGGCTTCTTGGGAGAGGCAGTATACGAGGTGGGTTTTGAGCATAAGCAGGAGTTTGCCGAGCAAAATGACACAAAGCGTCAGACACCCTGTGCTGGGTAATGCTGGAGATGGCAAGAGGCCTAAGCTCCAGCCCTATCCCTGAGGAGCCCTCATTCTGCGCAAGGAGGTAGACACAGACACTCCTAGCCCCATGAGGTCAGGGGTGAGCCAGAGGGAGAAATGTGGCTGGAAGAACATGCTTTGTCTACCCAGAGGAAGGGATACCTCGGAGAGGAGACATTAGACTTGCACCTTTTTTTTTTTTTCTCTCAAAGATGAGCTCTCATTCTGTCACCCAGGCTGGAGTGCAGTGGCACAATCATAGCTCACCGAATCAGCCTTGAGTAATCCTCTGGCTTCAACCTCTCTAGCAGCTGGGACTATAGGTGCATACCACCACGTCCGGCTAATTTCTTTCTTTTTTTTTTTTTTTGTAGAGATAGGATCTCGCTCTGTTGCCCATGCTGGTCTAAAATTCCTGGCCTCAAGCAATCCTCCCATCTTGGCCTCCCAAAGCTCTGGGATTAGAGGTGTGATCCACTGCGCTGGCCAGGCCCACACCTTGATGGGTAGGCAGGAATTCACCCAGACAAGAGCTGGTGTGAGGAGGGTGTTCCAGGTAGGGAGAACAGCAGAAGCAAAGGCCTTTTTGGGTGCAAGTCCTTGGATTTCAATAAGTCTGTGGAGCCACTTCCCGCTGGGCCTGGGGCCGTCAGAAAGGTGTTGGAGAAAGGGCAGGACACCATCCGATCTGCATGAATGGAAGGTTCTGAGACACAGCAGCCCTGGCAAGAGGCTGTTGTCCCTGGCATTAGCTGAATAGTCCGGCCTCCAGCCCCTTTCTTCAAGGACTGGGGGATGGTCCCCCTGGCATCCTCCTCAGTCTGCTTACCACCCCAGGCGGGAGAGCTGGCGGAAAAACTGGGTCACCACAGAAGGGCTACCTCACCCTCCCCTGCCTGCCATGACTTTCTGCATCCAGACCTGGCTTTGCTGGTGTCTGGGCTGGGGCTGGAGGTGGCAGGAGGTGGCAGGAAGTTAGGAAGCACCTGGATCTTGGAGAATCCAGATATGGCTCCAATCCAGGCCAGACTACTACCACTCACTAGCTCTGTGAATTCGGGCAAGCATCTTGACCTCTCTGGGCCTCCGTTTCTTCATCCGTGAAACAGAGGCATTCTATTCATAGGACTGTTGGAGGACTTAGTGGTCTCTTTGGGTCGACACGTGGCAACAGTGGCTGGTGTTCGTTGAGAGCCCACTGTGTGTCTGACTTGAAGCCAGGTTTTGTCTTCGGCCATTGGCTCCTTCAACCTGCCGTGTCACACCCATTTTATAGCTGAGGACCCAGCGACTTGGCCAATGTTCCCAGTAAGGTTACCCCTGACCCCAGGGCTCTTCACACTATTCCTGGCCTTGGCATAGGACCGCCTTGCCCACTGGGAAGAGGCCAGCTCCAGACCCTCTTCCCGCCCCTCACCCCGTTGGCGCCTGGGCATGAAAGGGCCTCCTGTTTCTCCAGGGAATTAGCAGCTCTGGGCTCCCAGCAGAGCAGCCAAGAGTGGTCCATTCATTCGCCTGAGTGAGGAAAGACTAAGCACTCCCACCCCCACCCCAGGGAACTGGGCAGAGAGGGCTCTAGAAGGTCCAAAAGCAGCTTCTCTGATTCACTGGGGGAAACCGAGGCACCTAAAAGCAAAGTCATCTGGCCCAGGTCACCTAGGGAGATTGGGGAGTTCCCCCCACTGGGCTGAATTCCGCTTTTTTTTTTGAGTTGGAGTCTCACTCTGTCGCCCAGGCTGGAGTGCAGTGGCACACTCACAGCCACCACAGCCCTGTTGGGCTCAGGTGATCCTTCTGTCTCAGCCTTCCAAGTAGCTGGAACCACAGGTGCACACCCCCACACCCGACTAATTTTTTGATTTATTATAGAGATGAGTCCTCGCCAAGTTACCCCTGAGCTCAGATAATCCTCTCGCCTCCGCCTCCCAAAGTGCCGGGATTACAGGCGTGAGCCACCGCGCCCAGCCTGCTGAATTCTGCATTTTTCAGGGGGGAAATTGGAGGTTCAGAAAGGGGCAGGGATTTGCCGAAGTCACACAGTGGGTCTGTGGGGGGGCAGCCCTACCCATGCAAAAAGCAGGCCCCACTGTCCATGAGTCCTTCATCCCAGAGCAGGGCAGAGAAAGTCCTTCAGATAGCTTTGGGCCTCAGTTCCCCCACTGGGAAATGGGTGTGGCGTCACGATTGCTCCGAGGACTCAGCCTGGGTCGTCTGTAGGGGAGAGAGGGTGTGGCAGGGTGGCATCCAGAAGCGCTGGGTCTAATTCATCTGCTGGGTCCTGCAAGGTTCAGCTCAGAGTAACAGATGAGGACTCAGTGCCTGCAGGGGTTATGGGTCCTGGCAGGAGCAGGCCTATGGTCCCACTGGAGGTGACCTTGGGAGTGGGAGGGAGGTGCCTGGGTGTGGAGGGGCTGGCATGGACTGGCGTGGGAGCATCAGGGGCTGTGTGTGCCTGGCCAGTTGTGATGGTGGCTGGAAGAACTGTGTATCCCGGGGCTGGTGCCACAAAGTGAACTTGGTCACTGCTCACGACCTGTGGGTGTGTCCCCAGCTGGGAGTGTGGCTGGGTGTGACCCTCGTGGCAGATGGGCCCTGCCTGTCGCAGGGGTGGGTGGGACAGCAGCGCTGGGTCTCAGTGTGGAGGAAGTGTGGATGCGGCCTGGCCCACAGCTGTGCATTTGGCTGGTCAGTGAGTGTGACTTGTGTGTGACCTGACCAGGTTTGGTTGTGTATGCAATTTTGTGTGACTGGGTATAGTTGTGCATGGCCAGGTTTGGTTGTCTGTGTGATTGGATGTAGCCAAGTGTGGTTATACACATCTGGGTGTGGTTGTGGGTAACTTGGTGTGGTTGTATGTGACTGGGTTGGTGGTGTGTTGCTGAGTATGGTCGTGTGTGACCGGATGACCAGGCTTGGTTGTGTGTGTGGTTGAGTGAAGCGAGGCTGGCGTGAGGGGTTGGGCCTGTGTCCGGGGAGGATGCTGAGAGTGCCTGTGTGACGTGCATAGGAACTCCCAGCCACACAGATA